AGAGTATTAACGAGGAGGATTTTTTGGTTAGTTTTGATGTTGTATCAATGTATACTAACATCCCAGTTCATAAAGCTATTGAAGCACTTTCACTCAGTCTAGATGAACACCCAGAAGTTATTGGGGAGGGAAATCTGAGCAAAGGCTCAATCTTCAGGCTTCTTAATCTATTCATGAGCAGCACATACTTCACTTTTAATAATAAAGTTTATGAACAGGTGCAAGGCCTAGCAATGGGATCATGCTTGGCTCCCATTTTGGCTAATAATTACATGTCAAGAATGGAGGGACACTTCATGTAAGGGGTATGAATGACACTTGAACTGCTAATTAGATGCATGGATGACTACTTTGCCATATGGCCGCATGGCAAGGATAATTTAGATAATTTCTTGTTTTTAATTAACCAGATTGACTGCAAGGTTAAGTTGACAATGGAGTTGGAGATAAAAAATAATATCCCTTTTTCGATGTCTTAGTGCTCAGAGCAGGTGAAAAGTTAAGCAAGGATGACTATAGAAAGCCAACACATGCTGGCTTTATACTTAACTTCTTCTCCAATCATAGTTACAAAACAAAGGTTGGAGTTTTAAAATCTATGATTATTCGAAGCATAAGACTAGCCGATGTAGACCATTGTGACAATGAACTGAATCGGCTTAAAATAATATTTTTAGAGAACATTTATCCCAAGGCTTGATTGAACATCACATTGAATTAATGAAGAATAGCTTTTTGAATGGTGAGTATGTAAGAAAAGATAAGGAGACCTTTTCTCATGTTTTGTCTTTACCTTCGGACATTCTCTCTAAAAGGAGAGGTGAACAAGTAAAGAAGTGGGGAATAAAAACGGTCTTCAGGGAAACTACGATACTTTCTCCAGTTATGCCCACTTTTAGAGAGAAAGTTGAGCCGTTCTACAGATCGGGTTGCTACAAAATAATGTGTTCATGTGGTCGCTTTTATGTTGGAGAGACTCGTCGTCTCATTCGACAAAGCGTAGCTGAGCACAAAAGCGCCTGCAAAGGGTGTTGGGTTCAAAAGTGGGAGCTTGATGAGCATAGGCCAGAAACGGGACACGAGATTGAATGATCTCAAACTTATCGTTTTGCTGATTATGGTATATTTGCGGGTAAACGTAAAAGTAGAGAATCCATAGAAATAAATTTTTAATTTTCTATAGGCATAACTGAGTCTATATAAGAGGTAAAATAGAACCGAATGGTCTTCTTGGACTAGTCTCAACGAAAGATTTTTACAAGAATGACACCCAGCTCTGATGATGGACGTAAGCTCAGCACGTTTTCACCCGAAACGAGGGAGGAAGTGTCGTGTATTTCGTCAACATGAATATCAAATACACTCCAAACGGC